TGAACCGCAGCATGTCTTTCAGAAGCCCTCTAATCTCTCATAAAAGAACCAGAGAGAAAAACAATTTTGCATTGAGCCAAGAGTGATGAGTACCTTTTTTTTCTGAAGATTTGTTAATGCTGTTTTTTATTCCTCTCATTGCCAACCAGTAAGCAGGCCTACGAATGGTCCGCTTGCTTCTGGACTCTGCACTTCCGTTCACTCGACTTTTCGGCGAGGCAGAAGAAATGTTGCTGACTGTCTCATCATAGTTACTGTTCAGTCCTAGGACAGTAGTTTCCACCACCTCAAACTGCTTAGACCTGGAAAACATCAACTTGAAACCCTATGTATATGTCTGCATACATACACACACAACCACAATAACTTGACAGACAACATCCCTTTCATCTTCCCAAGTACTCTAAAAATTAACCTCACAGTTCATTGAATCTCCTGAGTTTTGTGAACTGAAAAGTGCCAGTCAGATAAAACATCCTAAATGTCATTTTTCACTACATCTTTCAGAGAATGACATTAGAAACCTACTCAAGAGGAACAGAAAAAAATATTCATCCTACCTCAAACCTTCAACTCAAGAAGCAGGCACAAGTTAATCTCAGTTTAAAAATATACATTTATCCTTAAGCAACCGATGTGGAATATAAGAATTCTTCTGCAGCCCATCATTACAAAAGAGACCTTTTCCATCCCACAAAGGGCAAGATCTCTTTCAGTATGTATTCCCAGAGTCAGAGCTGACACTACACAACTAAAAGACTTAACGTTAGTAAGAATTTTAACCAGCAAGGCTTTCGGCAATGAAGACAGCCTTATAGTATATCCTACAAATCACACTACATTAAAGACTAATTTAGACTAGCCAGCACCACTGATTTTTCTTCCTAGAGATCAGAGGGAACTTTGATTCACTATTCTCAAATATGTCTCACAGCCCTGAAATGCCTAGACATTTACACTACTGTACATGACAGCAAAATTATTAGGTGTCAAAGAAACATAGAGTATCTATTCTCTGGGCAAATAGCATTAATATAAGAGGAAAGAACAGAAAACAGAAATACTTTTCAATGTATGCCATTGCTACCACAATTCACAAACTGAAATAAATAGATTGCTTGAATGATGACTGTGATGGCCATCCCAGCAATACTCTCCCACACCTTGAACTGTGGAGCTTACATGTTCAATCCAGAAATTACTAAGTGGGGGACACTGACGGTACAAGGTCAGATCAGTATAAACTATGTTTAAGGAGGTACTGCTGAAGGATGGGGAGAGGAATTATCAAATTAAAGCCTGAGCGTGCAATCACACTCAAAATACAAAGATTTTGGAACACCATTTGGTCTTGAACATAAAATATTTATCTTCCCAACGTTAAAATCCTTTTAAAAACAATAAATGAAAGCTAATACCCCTTGAAGTGTCAGAAAAGCACTTCTCCTACAAACCAATAAGCAAAGTCAGTTGAGACTCTCATAACACAAACCAAAATCGTTGCAGCTCTTAAAATTCAGAATATTATGTAAAGACCACACATGGTTTTCCAATAGGAATCTCTCAGCTTTTTTCTTGCCCTCAGTCAAACTAGACAAGAAACACTCACATACCTTTTGTTTCCCAGAGACCTCTTGACCTTCTGTTGTCTGTGATGTCCAGGCCTGGTGTCCTAAGAAAGCAGAACAATTCACATTAGCAGCATAATCTTTCTTCTTTTTGCATGTTTCACTTTTCAGTTAAACACAATCACCTGCGCTTGGAGGATGTGCATACCATCCTTTGGAAAGGAAACCACTGTTTTCTGCAACAAGGAAGTGTTTAACCTTTTCAACTCCAGCTGAATTAGAACTGGAATCAAAATAGGGATGAGCCCATCTACGCTCCCCATATGAAAGCTAATCATTCCCCTTGCACTGGGGCACAATGGAGTGTTCTTTGCCTCCAATTCATTCAGTGGTACCTGCTTTCTGCCTAGACTTTATCACACGATGACAAATATTTTAGATCCTAACTTACTAGTTCTTCCTAGTATTTTTTCCTTAATGAAATAATTATTGCATTTACCATACCAAGAATGTTGTCTCTAGTCTCTTTTATGCCCTCTTTTCATTTATCTCAATTATTTTGTCATACTCCATCACCTGCCCAGATGTTCACTTTATCCATATTGCAGAATCCTTCTTCTTATTTAACAAAGATTTTTTGTCACTTATTGCTTGTTGCTTTTGCTCCAATTAAGACATGTAATTTAACAGATACCATTTTGACATTCCCAAGTCAGTATAAACAACTCATTTGCTGTACGTTGTTCCTGGCATGTGGACAATCATTTATCACCTTCTTCAAAATACTAATAATGACTCAATGTCATTCTTCATTGGGAAACCCAGGACAAAAATCCTGGTTATATAGACTAGAAAACAAAAATCATTGCCAAGTAGAAGTATATGAAATACCAAAACTGTAACCTAGGAACAGAGATAGTATTTTGCCACGTACAAGAACTGGCTAAGAAACTGGCAAAAAAAGAAGGAAAGAAAGAATATGGATAAATTACCTATCTTCTTTACAGAAAAATGTAATGCACATTATCAACTGGACCATGCTATGAAGTGTTTTAATTATTAGAAATAAATGCTACACATTATCTGGGGAAAACAGCAAACAGGGATATGACAGAATTTGAAGAAGTCATAAAAATGTTATGATTTGTCAGGAGGAGATGCTGAGAAACTTCAGGTGCTGTATCAAAACTAGGGAATAGGCAGCTTCAGGGCAAATGAAATTCACCACTAAAAAGTTGCGCTGGAAAAAAAATGAACTTCAATCTGTTTTTCATGCTCTTGCTTTCTAATTTAAGCATAGGAACAAGCCGCAGTTCACTCTTCCCAGGACCGCAGTCAGTGAGAAACACCCTAACTACCAGGTAAGAAATTCAGTAGTGGGCACTGACATCAACTAGATGAATTCTTAAACTGTGACAATGGAGTGTCAGACTCTCCTTGGGCCTCCAGCCCCCGCATCTCCTCTCATGGAAACGCTAGGGAAGCAGGAGAGAAATTCACAACTGCTTGATCAATGACTTCACAATCATATCTTGTCTTCTTTGGAAAAAAAATCAATTGAATGTTTGTGTTTGTATTACATTGATATGGTTTACAGGCATCTAGTAGCGCAAACAGCAGTGTTTGGTAAACCCCTATATCAGAAACATGGAGAAACCTCACTGAGGAGCAGCTAGAAAAAATTAGGCCTGTGAAGTTATAATGATAAAAATGAACAAACAGGCAGGCATAGTCTACTGCAATCAGCTGGCCTAATCTATCATTAGAAGAACCTAGATGACTGCCAAACATGGCACACGGTTTGAGTTTGTTTTTTTTTTTTAAACTAAAGAATTTTGCAGAAAAGTGAAGATTAGTATGAAGAATTTAGGTCACAGTTAAGGATCTGCAATTAAAAAAAAAGGAGAGTACAGATGATCTGTCTAGCCTTCCTTTCTGAAAAGTTGATAGCAGCAATTATGAAGGAAACATCTAGAGAAACTGGTGTTTAAGTTTGGAATGGTTTTCATTTATACAGTGGACTTCCCA